AGGGTATGTAGATTTATCGGATTTTAACGAAACTTGGCCAAAATCTTCGTCAGATATTAGCGCACCAAAGTGCGTGAGGCTTTTACGAAAATCGAAATATTTTTCCTGTGACATCCCATTGGGTAACAGCAGTTAAAAAAAATTTTCTATCGTCCAGCTTTAAAAGGGATTTATAACGCAACCAATAGAAATATCGAAAAAGCCTCACACACTTTGTTATCCCATCAACTCCTGATTTTTAATGTCCAGTCAGCTTGGGTGTCCGCGGTGCGTAACACAAAGGCTGGTAATTCAGTTTAGCAAGTACGGTCGTTTTTGCGTTTAAAGGCTTGTGTGTGCCTATCAAAGCAAAAATAGCAAAATATATTGTTATTTTACAGATTCTACAGTTTGTTAGCTTTACAATATATGATATATAGTTTACCGTGGTTTTCTTTAAAGCAGCGCGTAAAGAAAGCATTTTCCGAAAGGCACCCCTGAAGGTCTACAGTAACCTTAAAGGAAGAATTAAACACACTATTGTAGTTTGGAAACAGCAAATGATATTTCTTGAACCGCACTAGGAGTAATTCCACAAGATAGGCAGTCACAGTAGCGTTCTTGTATCACGCTAACGATGTTACAACGCATGCGTATGACATGTTAAGGTACATAGCTTTGTGAAGATATCAAAGAAGTTAGGTCGGCCCAGCATCCCGCTTTGCGTAGTCCTCTCAGGTAGGTTGAAATTAATTAATTAAAAAAACATTAAACTTCACACGTTAACGCTTTGGCGCTGAATGCGTTAGTGCTTTAGCAGACGGCAACCCTCTCAACCATAAAAATAGTGCACTCTGCACTAAAAACGAGAGTTAAAAACAGAATCAGTTAAAGTGATTTCAGGTTTGAGTGGGGAATCAATTCAGGACGGAAGATCATATCGGTGCTAGATCACATTCGGGAGCTACACAGCATCAGCCTGTTCCACTACTAGGTTCTGAAAAGGATTAACTGTTATCCAGACCGAGTGACATACTTACCTGTTCCATCACGAGGTACAACATCTAGTTCTGCGGGAGATGATTTCACGTTAAGGCTAGAACTATCTTCACAACTAGCAACACACTTATACCAGCCAAAGTCGAACAATGTCACAGATTTAAAGACAAGTGTGCCCTCATCTTCTCCCTGTAACACTGTACCATCTTTATACCACTGATAGGTCAGTTTGCTGTTTTCTCCAGCTTTGCACTTGAACAGCAGCTCCACTTTCGAGCCTTCCTTCACTTTCTGGGATGATGGTTCCTTCATTATTGTTATCGCTTCTGCAACAAATTAATCAACAATTACCGGTTGATCACGAGCTCGAGGTTTCTATCGCCTGATAAAGGGCACAGCCCTCGTCAACTTTCACGCAATGAGGCATCAAGCAGTCAAGTTCATAATCTAACTGTTTTAGTATAGATCTACTAGTCGCTCTAAACTTTATCTAAATCCTCGTCACAGACACTTCAATACGACAAAGAAGCGGCTGTCATTTTGTCAACAACCTCACACTGCCGGGCTATTCACTATCTACAAAAGAATAGATAGTGAGCGGCGTAGCCAATAAGAGAATGATATTCGTGATAAAATGCTAGTAGATTTAGACTNTATACCAGCCAAAGTCGAACAATGTCACAGATTTAAAGACAAGTGTGCCCTCATCTTCTCCCTGTAACACTGTACCATCTTTATACCACTGATAGGTCAGTTTGCTGTTTCCTCGAGCTTCGCACTTGAACACCAGCTCCACTTTCGAGCCTTCTTTGACTCTCTGGGATGATGGTTCCTCCATTATTGTTATCGCCTCTGCAACAAATTAATCAACAATTACCGGTTGATCACGAGCTTGAGGTTTCTTGAGGTTTATCGCCTGATAAAGGGCACAGCCCTCGTCAACTTTCACGCAATGAGGCATCAAGCAGCCAAGCTCATAATCTAATTGTTTTAGTATAGATCTACTAGTCGCTCTAAACTTTATCTAAATCCTCGTCACAGACACTTCAATATGACAAAGAAGCGGCTGTCATTTTGTCAACAACCTCACACTGCCGGGCTATTCACTATCTACAAAAGAATA